ACATTCTGGAGGACAAAAGAAAAGGGACGCCAACGTGCCAGCAAAATACAAATACAAGTTGGGACATCCATAACTCTACCCTAAAAATATTCAATAATAATATCGAATCTATAAAAGGTAATAACTCATCTTTACCTGTAGCCTCGAAATAGCAACTGATTCAGATTATACAGCAAGATTTAAATAATCACCATTTCTAAAAACTGGGACTAATGGCGTCTGACAGGCCAAACGGTCAAACCAAAAGTGCCGTTAAATCACAGAGAGTTGACAGAAGCGATGTTGACAGCGCGCGCCTCCACAGAATAGTGAAACGATAGCAGGGAATAATAGGGATATAGGGAACGTAAAAATTACGCCAAGCGTACCAACAAAATGATCAGGCCTGAACGAGAAGGAATCCGGTGACGATAGGCCAGACATCATATATTATATGTAAAAAAGACATGTAACGAACTAAAAACGTTACAATTGTTTTAACATGACCGAACTAATGGACAGCTTAATTGCCTGCTACTGGAACTCCCCATCTGAGAAAAATTTCCCTGATCCAAGCCCAACCTCCAGGGTAAGTGTTCGCCACAGGGGATGTGGAGTCCTGAAAGGTGAAGAAGGAGAGTCTTAGCTGATGAAAAAATCATTGGTTCAAAAATTAGCAATTTCCTAAAAAGTGAATACCACCGGCGATGTAGAAGTTTTCATCAATTCATATTGCTTATTAAACGGGACGGCTAAAGCACTTAAAATAGTCGCTAATTGGAACTGAAGCTTGACCAAAAAAAACATCCTGCCTCAATACTTGCGATCTCAAACTATGTCAAACAGACTTTAATTTCCGGGCTAATTTCCGGTGGTTTAAGTGCAGAAGAATTCTGTAGAACCGGGTATGCTTCCAACGCAAGCTTGCGCGCCTCGTCATCTACACTTTTTGCAGCGAACAGCTGGATATCCTGGGGCGCTATTAAGTGCTGTACAATCGTCGCACAGTAGAACGATCGTATGTTTGATGCTGGACATAACACTTAAAATCGTATTTAAACTTTTAATACAAATTTCTTCAAATACATATTTAGAAGGCCATAATTTAATCAACTAAAATCGAATTTTTTTGAAAAATTCACCCAAAGCTATATATTATGGTATACAATATATGCGGCAATAGAGCAAATTATGGATTAAATAAATGACTTAATTCATGTGCCCCATACAAAAGTTTTAGCCCATAGTTTAACGAATAATTTAAAAGAAATTTTGAAACACTTGGGTGTTTATTTAACTCTATTCTCCGTGAAAATATACATTTTTCAGCGAAATTTATTATAGTTTGCATCTTTCTTTCGTAATTATCAAAACGTCCCACCGAGTCCCGATTATTTGTTCGTGGGTATGACTTCTCTATTTTATGCTAAACTTATGAATACAAAGTTTTATTGCAGCCGCTTGCAGCCAAGATGGCTATGGAAAATTTTGTTTAAAATTTAATTTTTTGTGATACACTATCCATTAATTAAGGAATTATTGTTATTGAATACATGTTGGTATTAAAGAACTGGACAAATTGCAAGGTCATAATTCATATAGTATAAAAATATGATAAAAAGTTCGTTAAGTTTTGGAATTATGCAGTTTAATTTGTAATAGTCAATTTAATACGGAAATTCAAATAAAATATATAGTCTGGAAAAACACCCCTGCACTATTCAGTAAGTTATCTATAATAAAGTTATGACTATTTTTAACAAATTTGAAGATTTTAGAACACATTTATTCAAAAAAATGTCTTAAGTTAGAAATTTTGCATAATTGCTGAATGTCCAGCAAATTGCATTGCGTCGATCCACTGTGCGTCGGTATCGTAGTAAAAATGTTTTAATTGTTGGTTGTCATAGTTATCGATCGGCCCTATGACTGATATCGCAAATTTGTACCGACGAGGATCGGTATCTCTACCGTGCCCTTGTAACACCACCGTAGAGATACCGATAGTCGTCGGTACAAATTTATTATGTCCTATTAATGACAGCTAGAACTATGACAACAACAGTTAACACGACGCTCATTGGTCGTACGTACGGATAGCTATCGGTAACTTAACGATACCGACGATTGTACAGAATAGCGCCCCAGGGGGTCGCAGCATGCATAGATTGTACTCACATAAAAATCATTAGCCCAGAAGGCGATAATGCTGAAGTTTTGAGATATCGCAAAGGTACCTTCTCCTTGAATGTTCAAGTCAAGACATTAATTATTTAAAAAAATGTACTAATTTAGGTTGCAGTTGGTCCTCAGATGGAAATGTTGGATATTGTTGTCAGACATCCCGGATCAGCTCATGACAGTCTAATCTTCGATAGAAGTTCTCTTCGAGTATTTTGTGAAAGAGGAAAAATGGGTGGCTTTCTTTTGGGGGATAATGGATATCCTTGTCGACCCTACTTGCTATCACCTGTAATTCATTCAGGCAAGTAATTCTATCATAAAGGCCTGCCTATAATACTTATTTTCAATTTGTTGCTTTCAGGTAATGTATGAATGTGATGAACGCTACAACAGAGTACAAGAAACATTGTTGAACGTGTGTTTGGTGTTTATAAGCTAAGCTTTCCGTGCTTGTATAGAGGACTGACAACAAAACTAGAAACAAGCCAAGCAACAATTTGTGCTACAACAACTTTGTACAATTTAAGTGTAAAATGTAAGGACAATTTTATATTTGAGGACGGGGTGGCCGAGAATATAGATTCACATATTGACAATATTAATGTTCGATTGGATCAGTTAGGGTTAGGTTTTAGAAATGAATTTATTCAGCGTCGTTTCTAATATTATTATTGTTGTTATATTGAATAGTAGTATATTCAACCAAAGTGTTTTTTGTTTAATTATTATGTGTAGAAACTAATGCCAGAACAATATTGTAGTAAGAATGTGCTGGTTTTGAAATTTTCTTATTGTTTTATAAATTTATTTTGTGTTTTTTGTATAATTTAAGTGTAAAATGTAAGGACAATTTTATATTTGAGGACGGGGTGGCCGAGAATATAGATTCTCATATCGACAATATTAATGTTCGATTGGATCAGTTAGGGTTAGGTTTTAGAAATGAATTCATTCAACGTCGTTTCTAATATTATTTTTGTTGTTATATTGAATAGTAGTATATTCAACCAAAGTGTTTTTTGTTTAATTATTATTTATTAATATTTGGTGGTTAAAATGATGTCTAGAAATTGGAAAAACAACACAAACTTGCAACCGTGGAATATTCCCCCACGGAGCGTGAGATGAGCGAGAGGGGACGAAGAATAGCTTCTACGTCCCACTAGTCAACTGACATACCCAACAATATTGCCGTTTGTTGTCGCCTTATTTTATGAACGGTTTTAACTTATTTTATGAACTTCGGAAAGTAACGCCTAGCTATAGCCAATTTTGCAAGAGCAGATCTGGATCCAGCGGTGAGGCTGTGGCTTCGGGATCGACAAATTAACAAGTCAGCTAAAGGAAGAAGATTCACCGATGAATTTAAATATAAATGTCTGGCAATGTGCTTTTCCGGGCCGAAATTATACAAGGCACCTCTTGACAAATCTATTTTGCCTTCCATGTTCAGAGACAATAAGAAAATTAACATATGACATCGATATCAAACCTGGCTTAGAAAATCCTACACCCGTATTCATAGTCATTCGCCGGCGAGGCGTTGAAAAATCTCCCAGTCGCACCGCCAGCGAACTTTCGGCGAAGCGAACGATATCAATTTTGAATGCATAGACGATATCCTCGCCGTCGCCGCGCTGGCAACTCGCTATGACTCGTGTGGCGATTTGAGCAAGCGCATTTAATTTGTTTATGTGTTTTTCCGTCCACGGCACGCGACGATTTTTAAACCAGAGCGCGGTACTGATCCCAAAACGTTTTTCTTGTTATTATTGTTTGTTGTCTTTTTGCAATGGCGGTAAAATATTCGGCAAGTGATAAGGAACAATTTATTAAAATGTTGATAAACTATCCTATTATAGAAGATAAAAGGACTGATTCCTATAATATTGAGAAGAAGAAAAAAGCATGGGATAAAATTACGTTAGAGTATAATGAGGTAGCTACAGAAAAGGTAAATATAAAATTTATGTTGTGTAGCTATAATATTCTTTGATATAGGATTTATTATTATGGTTTGAGATAATTATGCATTAAAGTAGATTATATATCTTTTAAACAGGAAATAGAAAGAAATATTTTTAGTAGCTACATTTAAAAAATTCTGTTTATTTTAGAGAACAGTAATCCAGTTAAAAAGATTATGGGATAAAATAAAAAGAAGCAGGAAAAGTGCGTTAGCTGAAGAGAGGCGTGAAGTGATGGCCACAGGAGGCGGGCCGTCTAAACCACTACCACCTTATTCACAACCCGAAGTAGATGCCCTGATACCTCATCTCGATTATGAAGTTAATATTGAAGATGATTCTGATGGCATAAATTTAAAAAATACAGAAGGTAAACTTTCTATACTTTGTTAATCATCAAAACAATTGCTATTTTTATTTGTTTCAGTTGTACGGTCATCAGAAGAGGCAACTGCTTCAACGGTATCAGTCACCTCTTACGTCTTAGTGCCAGAAACCCCAACATTATCCACTCCATTAAACCCAAGTGCTGTTAAAGGTAATATTCTACGATTATAGGACCTAGCAAATATTTTTAAATTAATTATTGTCACAGTCTCGCGCCCCCCTAAAAAAAAGGAAGATCATCTTGATCAGTTGACCAAGGCAAGGTTAGGCCTAGTTGAAAAGGAAGAATCATATATGAAAGAACTTCATGATATCCGTATGGAGGAGGCGAAATATAAGGCGGCGGCTGCCAAGTTCGTAATGTTACAAGAAGAGGCAAAATGGAAGAAAAGTAGAGATGAATAAATAAACGATTAATTTAATAATTAATAAATGATTAACAAGTAATAGTTTTATTTTCAATAGTATGTACCTAATAGTAGATATAGATTTTTAATCAAAATAATTATGAACTATATGGTTTCTCATCACATTACCTAAACCTAAATTTCCTTCACGAAAAATAATTTCTGGAACATCATCGTCGATCTGTAGAGGTTCGTCTATGATGTCACGGTAAGTAATGGAAATATTATGAAGAATAGCACAAGCTACGATAATATAACAGGAAGTGGAGATCTTGGTAGCAAGTCCCCGACTCAAACAAGGAAATCGGCGCTTTAAAACACCAAATAATCGTTCTACGGTATTTCTTGTCTGAATATGTGCTTGGTTGTATCGCCTTTCTCCTGGAGTACGTACTTGTCTAAATGGAGTCAGCAAGTAAGGTAAACATGGATATCCCGCATCACCAAGCAAATATCCAGGAAGTTCTCTTCGTTGAAACTTTCCCTTTAAGGAACTCCTTTGAAAAATGTAACTGTCATGGTAACTTCCTGGATATCGTGAAACAATATCTAATATTTGTAAATTAGGACCTGAAGTTGCTTGTACGTTAATAGAAAAGTATCGTTTTCTATTTCGGAACAGTTCGGCAACATCTCCTCCTGGACTCTTGATAGTGATATGTGTGCAATCGACACACCCTGTGACATTTGGAAAGTTAGCAATTGTACTAAATTGCCGTTGCATTTCCGGAATATCCTCATTAAGTGGAAATGTGATATATGTTCTAGAGTGTGCTGCAAGTCTTCTGGTGATTCTTGTCACAACTCGGCTTACAGTACTTTGGCTGAGTCCTTTCAAGTCTCCACAGACAATCTACAAACATATAATTATATTATTATAAAAGTGTGGCTTTTTTATTTTGTTAATTTTCACCTGAAAACTTCCGCTAGCGTAAAAACGCAACGTTAAAAGTAATCCTATCAATGTGGGTACCGGCAATCCTCTGTTAGTCATGGGTTCACGGACATGTACCATTGGTAATAGAATATCACGCACCACCTCTTTCCTAAATCTAAATCGTTTTTTAAATTGGATTTCACTGTAAAATTCAAAAGGGTTTTCCATATCTCGAATATACCTAAAATAATCAACGAAATAAATAATATCAAATTCAAAGGTTTTCTGCAACCAATTTACCTCCGATGTATATGAAAATCTATGTCCAAAATATCCCTGTGGGCATTATATAATAGATCTAAATCACGTTCCATTGTTAAATCGAATTATTATGAAAAATAAAACAAAATTTAAATTATTTACTAATCTGGCGGTCGCTCGGAGATAGTACTGACCATCTCCAACGAATCGCTAACGCCGCGCCAAAATTTCAGTGAATGCGCATGTGTGTCATTGTTGGCGAACGACTCTGCATGACAAATATGCGTGGGAGATTGGCGAACCGCTGGCGGCGCGCCAGCGATCGTTTATGAATACCAGTGCTAGTGTAGTTGAAACTCTAAAAAGAAAAGTTTCGAATGAACTTAATCGATATTATGTTCTATGTATTGATGAGATGAGTATCAAGCAATTTATTTTATGATAGTGGTTGTGATAATACTGTAAGTTTTGAGGACCAGGGGAAGGGGAACAGAAAGTTTAAACCAGCTCGGGTGTCAACGGTTGTTATGGTAAGATGTATCTTTACCAATTGGAAGCAACCCCTAGCTTATTTTTTATAACACTACATGCCCAGGTAAACATTTGAAGGAAATTGTAGTTGACGCAATTACTAAACTTAAAAATATTTGTATAAACGTTATTTTATGAATAAGTGATATGGGTTCTAATAATGTTTACATTTAAACATTTAAAAAATATTTTGAATATTACTCCAAATACTCTACTTTGATGTTAACAACCAGCAAGTTTTTTATGTTCGATATTCCACATCTGAAAAAAGCTTTGAGGAATGTGTTAACTAAATATATATTTGTTTTAAATGACCAAAAAATACCTTGGAAATACATTATACAATTTTATAATCATGACAAAACCTACTCAATAAAAGCAGCAACTAAATTAACAGACTCATATTTTTCCTTCGAATTTGAAAGCTTTAAAAGGGGAAGCAGCAAAGGTAATAGAGTTGTAGCGTTTTTTTATAAACATTACCACTGCGAACGGCAGCTTTTCATCGGAGAGCAGTCGTGGATAAGGTATTTCACTAGAGAGAAAACTAATCAATAACAATAAACAAAAAAATATAGATATTGGGCGCCAGGCATGTACAGAGAAAGAAAACACAGTTGTATATTACTTAAAACTAATGACTATATTTATTCATGATGTTCTTTGTTGGTAAATGACATTGTAGAATTTTAATAATTATTATAGTGGTTAAATACTATTACAAGGCGTAATGTAATGAAACCTAAAATCTAAATCATATTGTAACTACTAAATCGACATAAATGTTCTTAATAATCTAAGCACTAAATATAGTCTGTACGATCTTACTTAAAATGTACGTTATTGTTTAAGACTGAAAATGTTTTAAATGTTAAATGTAAAAAAAAGTGTTGAACTTAAATCTACACTTAGCTGTTCTTTATGTAATCTTGCTTCAAACAGTAACAGCGTGAGGTGGTCTCGCATCTCTGTACTGTCTGTCGGCGATCCTGTTGGCCAAAACAACAAATGGGGCCAGAATGAGGACACCATGAATCAATACAGCCGCAGCTACTGACCAGGCTTAGAAATGGGAGCGAAGCAGCATGGGGCTTACGCTGTATCCATACTGTGGCAATATGGGGGCACTACCCGTACCTTGGAACACTACTAGGACCTTGGATAATGTCCGTAACTTGGACCATAACCTTGTACCATAACCTTGGACACAGTCCGTCCATAAGATAACAGTACAGGGGAACACTACTCGTACCTTGGATACTACTAGGACCTTGGATAATGTCCGTAACTTGGACCATAACCCTGGACACAGTCCGTCCATAAGACCCTAAAAATACATCCGTACATAAGATAATGTCCGTACATAAGACACTACCCGTACCTTGGACACAGTCCGTACCTTGGACACAGTCCGTACCTTGGACCCTAAAAATATGAAACTCTTGTTTAAAATCAAACAAGGTCTAATAAACAAAATGAACCTACCTCGAATTACTTCCGAGGGCTCACTAAATAATAAAGAACATGTCCTTTCTTCCATGTGACATTCTGGAGGACAAAAGAAAAGGGACGCCAACGTGCCAGCAAAATACAAATACAAGTTAGGTTGCGACATCCAAAACTCTACCCTAAAAATATGCAGTAATAATATCGAATCTAAAAGGATAATATCTCATCTTTACCTGTTGCCCCGAAATAGCAGCTGATTCAGATTATACAGCAAGATTTAAATAATCACCATTTCTAAAGGTCGGAATGCAACAGAGCCGCAAAACAAAGTGAGGTTAAGCACGGAGAGAGTTGACAGAAGCGATGTTGACAGCGCCTCCTCAGAGCGATAACAGGGTTGTGTCAAACGATAACAGGGTTGGCGACTAGGGAACGTAAAAATTACGCCAAGTGCGTCAATTAAATTATCCGGCCTGAACGATAGGGAATCCGGTGATGATACGCCAGACATCATATATCATATACAAAGACATGTAACGAACTAAAAACGTTACAGAGTCATACCTATAACGGACACGAACTACACAACGGCTTGGAAAGAGTGTGTGGGGTCATGTGATCTTACCCTCCCTATTTACCAAGTCTGTGGTACGTCTAAAGACAGAGTTCAGGTAGGATCTGTGGTTAGGATTAACTAGGGTTATGGTAAAGTTAGAGAGAGAGAGAAGAGAGTTTCGATTTCTTCCAATGCTCCATATCGCTTGGCGATCTCTCATTATTTATTGCTCGTTGTATTATAACCGAAGTCAAAATAAAGTTATTAAGTTAAGAAGTGTTTAGTTGGAAGTGTTGAATAACCCAGCATCAAAGACCCATAATTGGAAATTGTAAATGCACGTCTAGGTCTCACCAAATACAGTGAAAAGGCAAGTACACACCTAGAATTTTTTAATTTGTATTTCACAACGGAAATGAAATATTGAACTTGTGGCTTTACTAATAAAGAAGCCGAAAGATATTATAATGAATGGAATAAAAAATATCCAAACAAATCAAAGAAATGGACTGTTCTTGAAATAGACTGTTTTATCGGCATTCTCCTCAAAGCTGGAGCACTAAGATGCAGAAAGCAATGCACTCGAGAAATGTGGACCACTTACACATCAATTCGTAGATCATTTTTTACAGCTGCCATGTCCAGAAATAGGTTTGAGCAAATATTTTGTTTTCTGGGGTTTGACGACAAGACTACTCGTGAGGAGAGAAAGAAACTCAAAATGGCGGCCATTAGTGATATTTGGAAAATGTTTGTGGAAAGTTGTAAAAAGGCTTTCGAGCCATATGAAAACATTACAGTTGATGAACAACTTGTGTGTTTTAGGGGCAAATGTAAAAAAAAATGATTTTATGTATTGTTTAAACGGTTATACAATACATAAAATCAAAACCTGGTCGGTATGGTATTAAAATTTGGGCAGCTGCAGATGTGAAAACAACGTATTTGTGTAATATACAGGTGTACACTGATAAGCTTGCAACTGGAAAAGCTGAAAAAAATCAAAGATATCGTGTTGCGGGTTAGATTTAACTAAACCGTACCAAGGCAGCTGGCGCGGCGGGGTATTACAACAGATAATTTGTTCACCAGCGTTTTACTTGGACACTATTTCTTGACAAAACAATTGACTCTTCTTGGAACACTTAGAAAGAATAAGCCACACCTCCAGAGCTTAGTAAAACACCAAGACCCATACTATCATCAATGTTTGCTTTTACTGAAGACCTTACAATAGTGTCATACGTTCCTAAAAAAATAAAATGGTTCACCTTCTGTTGAGTCAGCATGATGGTGATGAAGTGTGTCCTGAAAGTAGCAATAAACCCCTAATTATTTTGGACTAAATAATACAAAAGGTGTTGTCGATAATAGAGAAAAACTCATAAGGGAATATCCTTGCGCGAGAAAAACAGCTCGTTGGCCCTTTAGACTTTTTATGAATATGATTGATATTGCAGCTCTAAATTCATTTTCAAAATTATAATGAAAGAAGCGATAGCCTATAAAAGAAAAATAAAAGAGGCTTTTTTAATTCAATCTAATAAAAATAAATGTATTGCTCATGCATTTGTAGATGTTAGTAATGTATGGCAATCGCTTCTTTGATTTTAACGAACATTACATAAATAAACATAACATACGTGAAATTTAAAAATAATCATACAGAAAGTTTGGGCTTTTTGGTTTTACCTTATTAAGTAATTATCAGGTAGTAATTGTTAATTTTGAAGTTTAACTTAATATAATGTCATTTTAACAGAACGTCAACGATTTCTTGTAGACGTATCTGTTTTTAAAAGTAAAGTGTTCTCGAATAGTTCAATTTAAATATTTTAAATAGTTTTTTCTTGATTCTTTATATTTTTTGTTTTCCGACGACGGAAAGAGAAAACTTTCCGAAACGTTAAGCATTTTTTTCTTTGTTAGGCAAATTTTTATTACTGTAAACACAACTTCTGACAAGCAGCGTCCGTTTAGGTTTAACGCAGAAGTGTTTAGAAAAAATAACTATTTTATTTTGTAGATTTTTCTTGCAGTGCAGTGGCGAAAAACCCATAAGGATTTTTTTGGATAAATTCATTTGTATTAAAAATAGAAAAATATCCTGACTGGCAGAAGAAAAATAGCTTGCGTCGCCGTTCATTTCTTTTACAATTAGGCGATCAACTTGCCAAAAGTAATATTAATAAGCGAGCAGAAAACCAATATCTTTAGACATATGTAAAAAGAGCTTTACAAGATTGTGTCATCGTATCTGAAAATCCGGATAACAGGGATCAGCTTCCTCAAGTCACTGGTAAAAAACGAGCCAGATGTTAGAGTTGATGTTTTTGTTTAAGTTTTTTTTTAGTTTGTCATGTTTTTGTTTATGTTTATGAGAAGATTTTATATTTTTTTAAATTTTTATCTCATAACACTAAACTTTTGTTTAATAAAGTAAAATAAGCTTTAGTACTCCTCGATCTATTTATTTGCTATGGGGTCTCCCAGGGACCCCAGCTGGGCATGTACGTTGATTGTAGTAGGCTGGGCGCTCAAGGGTTAATCTGCGATGGCAACATATAAAAGAAAATCTTGAACAAAGAGTTTGCATTAATAAAATTGCAAAAATTGCATTAATGTATCAGGATTTTCCTCAGATGGTGACTCTAGGCTGTTGAAATCAATGTGTTAAACTTGCTATCAGTATAACAGATACGAAAACATATCATTGGGATTGGTACCATTTGGGATATGGCAAAAATGATAGAAACTAGTAGTGGGAACTATCGAATGAATACTATCGAAACATTCGAT